GAGGTGATGTTAGATGTTGTTCACTCTACTATCTTCACACACAGTCTGTACTATGATATCAAGAACATACATGGACAAAATGAACGTCATCCGGGTCATCATGTGAGATGATTGACAGGCGAGGTGATGTAAGACGCCGTTCATACACAACGCAATAGTTTTGAAACACCTCCATGTCGTCGATAAAAACCTGGAAAAAAGGAAACAGAAAACAGGATGAGTTTGATCAGTATTATGAATTATAATATAATCTAAATTGTCCTTACATTTGGTTCTGCAGGAATGATATCCTTCCAGTTTTCCTTCCCTGGATTTGATTCCTCTACTCTGACAACCTTAAAAACGAAAAAAGAAACAAAAAACTTTGAGTTTTGTCGCATAGCTGCCCAGAGTTGTGCAAAGAAATAAAGGCTTTGCACCATAGCATGTTGGCGCCAATAATACAGCTCTGGCTTCCTGTGGTTAGATAGCAGAACAATAAAATCTTTTTACTCTTGGGAATTGAATTCCTTCTTATGTAAAACGATTGTATTGTTCCTGCCGTCTAACATGGCTACTGTCCAGTGATGGTGCAAAGCCTCTATACATGAGTAGCATCTAGACTTTCTTTCACCGCATGAGGATCATAATCCTCATGCTCGGACCACGTTACAAACAAACATCTTCCAGCGAATGAGTCTAGGTCGCAGCGACATAAAGCTTGTATGAGCAACAGAGATATCATATTCTTGACTCACCCGATAATTAAATCCTCCAGCATTGGTGAGAATGAAGAATTCTTTTCCTCGGTGTTCAACGTAATACTCTGTTCCTTCTTCACGGGAGTAGAATGGTTGGTGTGTGAATGACTGGTCTTGGAGGCTAATAAGACTAACCTGGGGAAAAAGATTGTCTTTTTTTTCAGATTTATTTTTGCGAATCAGGAAGGGTTTGAAACAGGAGAAAATAAAAATAGAGAATTTTCCATTTGTTTTTCAGAAACGCTTCATATATGCATATTGAAGAATGTCATAGTGATCTGATATGACATGACGTCAAGAAGACTGTGTAGGCACGTTCTTTTTTGYGCTCGAGTGCTGTCCTCTTCAATAGACACATTCTAAATTGGAGATGAAAAGCTAAAAATGGTGTTCTAAGAAAACCAGCCCTGAAGAATACAGCRCACATGTTGTCATTTTGAGGTTGAATCTTATAATAAGCATATGGAAGAATTCTGTAAAAATCCACAATGATAACAAGAGTCAGCAAGTAGATGTACTGAATGGACTCACCTCTGATGTAGCTTTGGCGTTTGAATTAACTGTGATGTATTTTCTATCTTTAGTTGCACTCACATCCATAAAAAACCTGTTAAACCACACAATATAGGATTAATAAACCTAGATAGGGATAAAATGGTATAAAGACACTTGAAGACTGGCTTACATCAAAGGTGGTGTAGCATTAGTACACTTGCCTCTCACTTCTAGAGTCTTGGGTTTAATTCCTGGACTCTGCATCACATTATGAGTAGAGTTTGTTAGGTTTCTCCCTTGATTCAAGGTTCTCTGGTTTTCCTCCCTACTCCAAACCTAACCAGCTAAATTCCAATTTTATCTGTTGGTTAGCCAATTGCCCTTACTTTGATCAGCCCAGAGGTCGTTTTAGGTTTCGATCTGTAAGTTAGCTGTGCCTTGACTTCAATCTGAACCCAAGGCTGTTTTAGGGTTCAATAAAATTATTTTATTGTTTTTGAATTTGGCTCTTTACCTCTCATTTTTCTCTTCATACATCAGGATATCCTTATCTACATCTTGACCCAGTTTGTGTTTCCACAGCTTGTTTGATCTTTTTAAGTCATCATGTGTAGTGTAAAAGATAGTGGAATCATCAGCTCCCCATTCTGAAACAAAAACAAAAAAAGAAACAAACAAACAAACAAAATTTAGATGGTTCCATTTAACAGACACTGATAAACTGGTAGCCCTCTTTGTGCCTCTTATTCAGAAAGAACTGAAGGTCTATCCATTTGTAGAAACAAATACAAAGGCAATAAGTTCTTCTCAGCTATATCTTAAGATCCTGAGTGTTGTTCTGGCTATAARTTGAACTTATGAACTTAAGAAAAAAAATATATATTCAAAGTAGTTTTGATTGAATGTTTTTGGGGTCCTGAAGCCCTGACCCTCACAAGAGAGTATTTTTTCCCTTGGGGGCTGGGGTGGGGGGAATGTCAACTAAAACTATATTTATTTATCATAAAYTTCATTTTTGTGCTAAATTCAAAAACTATAAAACGCTGGAACTAAGCCTGCAAAAAGTTTCTACCCTGATATATAGACACTGTTGTAACATTTTCTTTTAACCAATCAGGGCATGAGTAGGTGCATATACCATGATTACATACCAAAGTTTACAGCATTAGGAATTATATCCATGATATCTAATGGACCATCCCATACTTTAGTGACATGACAGGAATATGTCTCCAAACCAGTACTGTCTAACAGGAAACCAGCTAACTGTATTCCGTACAATAAGAAAATATCAATACAAGCTATATATAATAGTCTAAGTGCTTAGGAGAAGTGTAATGCATGAAAGAGGCAAGAATGGGAACTCAAAGTTTTCATGAAAAAAATGACAAATTTGTGGAATTCTCTGCTCCTTTAGAGACACACCTTTGATCAATACCCTGAAATAACCTCTGGGCTGATCTAAGTCAGGGCATGGCTAACTCACAGATTGAACCCTGAAACAACCTCTGGGCTGATCTGAGTCATGGTACAGCTAACTCACAGATTGAACCCTGAAACAACCTCTGGGCTGATCTAAGTCAGGGCATGGCTAACTCACAGATTGAACCCTGAAACATCCTCTGGGCTGATCTAAGTCAGGGCATGGCTAACTCACAGATCAAACCCTGAAACAACCTCAGGGCTGATGTGAGTCGGGACATGGCTATAAACAGGGTCACCACATTACTGGCTACTCTGTGCTAGGGTCTTGGTCCCAAAAGTCTCTGACATTTTGACGAGAATGTGCAGTAAGAATGACAGCTGCCTGTGGGTACTGGGTTGAGAGTGAAAATATCTTCTGAAAATGTGTGGTTTTTCAGACCCCCCTACCTCCAGAAATTCCAATTTTCTTCCTTACAAACTCTGTAATTTTACTCTTTCTTAAATCCCCTCCCCTATCCCTTGGAAATTCCAAATTCCTCTTTGGTGGGGAGGGGGGAGGGTGGGTTTGGATATTATTTATAAATTCTGGATCTATACAATAAACCAACCTGTCTTGAAGGAGATAATTTGAAGTTTGATACTGCAACATGAGGATATTTGGTAGATAGTTCATTCTGGTTCAGAATTATTTGCGGCAACCCATGTAACCCACCTGGGAAAAAATGGTTTAAAAAGGATCTTTAAGAATGGTGCAGATATTCAATTTATATGGGATACCTGTGATCTCAAATCCACAGGGAGCCCATTCATACATAACAAAGATATAATCACAGGCTGCAAAACCTACTCTTGAATATTATTCGTCTGCAGATTACTGGAAGTCTTCTGTCTCCCTCAGGAGGACTTTTTATGTAGTAGATATGATGATCGATTCTCTATGCAAGATAAAAAAGTTTGCTAAAAATAGATTAAATATTTTTGTGCCACTCTGTACCATGGGTTACAAGGGTTATTTATTCCCAGGGGCAGCGGAACCGGGGGACCCAACATGCCCCCCCCCCCTCCAGACAAAATTTTTTGGGGGAGCCTGGCCCCCCCTTACAAAAATATTGGTTCTCAGTCATAGTTTTACAGCGCATGCGTCTGCAATCAAACAAAACAGCTGTCATTATCACATAGTGTTAAATATAATATTTCAGTGCACCCCCAAAGATTTTCAGCTTCTGCCGCCCCTGATTCTCTCTTTAGATTTTGCTGTTCTGACTCTAACCTATATCTACCTCAAGGCTTAAAATAACATGTGGTAAGTTGCCAGTCATGATGACCAGCTAAATTAGTTTTAGCTTGGTCATGCCTTATTTCTGTCTCAATAAAATGTTACTGGTCAAAATGACTAGCAAGGCAAAGTTTTGACCGAACGAGCTCCAATATTCTGGGCAGACATTGTCTAATTCCAGCTATTATCGCAAGCCCTGCACCTGAAATGAATGAAACAGAATTTCTGGACCCCACCATGTAGCAACTCAGAACATGATATGAGTCATCTAACATGTTTTTCTGCTGGAGCACAGAATCTTTTTTTAAAGAAAAATATGCTTTTGATGACACATACAGGATCTCTAATAAACATAACACATTAATTACCTGTGGTACAGATTCTACTTCATGGCATAATGGCAACCAGTGGTTCATCTCTAGTATCAATTGTCTTTGGAAATTTTCTGTATCTGCTAGAGATGCCTGCATATACCTGCATTACAGGGGTTGGGTGGTGTATTAATAATGGTATGCTATGCTCAAGGATTGTTATTCATGATTTACTCCCTTTAAATAACACATGCTTTACTCCTCTTTCAACCCCTAACACCTGTTTTGTTTGACTCAGTTATCCTTTTTGCCCAGCAAAAACATTAGCAATTTAACAGACAAGTTTGTATCTAGCAAACTGGGGGCACACTGGGGAACGGCTTAGTCAAGCTTGTTTTCAGAGCCTTTCTCCCTTTAGCTCTTTTCCAATTCTCATTCCTCCAATCCTTCCACACACATAAATCTGCTTACCTGTTTTCATCTTTAATGTATTTTTTCACATCCTGTCAAAATAGGAATGAAATATTGATTAGCAACTTAAGTGCAACATAAGCCTCGTTCCTCTATACTATGTAAGATTGCATTTTCCAGTTCAAAATGAATTACAGGCGCCCAAGCAAGCAAATGCAAATAGTACAGTATTGAAAGTATAACCTACTTACCTGAGAATTCGCATCCCGTAACCAGTTAAAATCATCCTTCAGGACAAACCCATGTAATTCTTTATTATCTGGTACTACTTTAGCGCTAGGAACTTCCCCTTTTTTAGCAAAAAGCCACTTTGTGAATGGAAGACAACGTTTTGACGACAAACCAAGAGAACGACGAATGTTTTTCTGCACGCTGATTGAGTTCAATCTTTCGAGGCGGGAAATTCGAAAATAACATTGTAAAGCCCTTATCTGGGACATCTGAAACATTCTGTAGGATTCTTTTAAATCATTGAAGCAAAGGAATGTGTTTTAAGGATCGATAGATTAAAATATTAAATTCCATTCAAAAAATGAGTCACGCTCTTCTTGAATTTGATCGCGTTTGACACAGGAACCCCAATTACAAGAAAAATACGACTTCCTTCCCAAACCAAAAATCCAGCATATACGATAAACTCCAACTCGGAGGTACTTCATACTAATTTTTCCTCGCTCTTTTCTATTGAAGCATTTATTATTTATTATTAAATTTGTACAATATTTTTAAATTGTACAGTAAGGCATAAAAAGTGTGTTTGGGCTACCTGTTTGATATCCCATGGATCTAAGCGAGCTCTTTTTTCAAGATGGCGATGAGAGTTTTATATTTTACACGTGCACGAACTCTTTTGAGCTAATTTGCTTATTTTCTACGTTAGAACTGTAGTTCTTTGCACTGTTTTTTCATAGAATGGTTTTCCTATGAATAGCTGATGTAATAATTATGATAGCATTGAGGTATTTTGGACGTTTTACCCCAAGAATTAACATCGCAACGAGAAATGCAGGGTTTCGAAAACTCGACATCTTTTCTTTAACACCACAACGTATTTTGAGCTCCTTTGTGGATGATTTTAGTACTAATGGGACGTCATTCAAACGGCGTGTTAGTCAATACCCAAGCAAATCATTATATCTTCAAACACCAGAAGAAAAAAGAATTAATGGCGAATTCCAAGGAAATCAGATTCACCTGAATAGTGTAATACGCAAAACGACAACAGTGAAAGCCCTTTTGGATTTGTACGAAACTTGTGTGTTAAACAATAAGAATACAATAACAGTACTTTATCATCTTGCGAGGATTGTTAAAAATAACTCATGGGAGCAGTATCTGGTAAGAACAGACCCCGAGTTGAGAGGAAAAGCACAACTTTTCCTGGAAAAGGTAATGGTTATGATCCCAGAAGTTGATGACCGAGGTTTGTCCAATGCTGTACATGCTCTAGCTTTTCTACTGGCAAGAAATGTGAATATACCAAACCTGCAAAGTTATATCAATTTATGCCAACAGGAAGCTCTAAAGAGGGGCTTTTCTCACGTAAATACCAAAGAAATTGCAATGCTGTTGTCTGGTCTTGGTAGAGCTAGATTTGTAGATGCAAAGGAACTTTGTGGGGAGATCAAGAAGGAGGTAATCAAACGTGGGCTGTCAAAATTCACCAACAGTGAATTGTGTATCATGGTTTGGTCTTTTGCAACATTGGGAGAAATATCGGAGGACCTCTTTCAGCTTGCCGAGAAGGAAATTCTGTCAAGGGACCTGACTAATTTTACAAGAGACCAGTATGTTCAGCTTCTCTCTGCATTTAGTAAAACGTTTGAAAAGCACAAAGAACTATTAACTCACTTTGCCAATGAGTTAACATCAAGGGATCTTTCATCTTTCAAACCGTATGAGCTTGATGTGATTTTGCGCTCATCCTCTGGCCTGAACATCCAAAGTGACCAGCTGTTGCAGTCAGTAGAACAGTCGATCCTTAAAGCACATCCTTCTAAGTACAGTACAAGACAGATTGCTTTACTGCTCAAGTTTGTGTCCAGTCAAGGACTCAAAGGCCAAGATCTTTTTCAATGCATGTCCAAAGAAATTCTAACAAGACGGAAATGTATTGCCGAAATGGAAAATCGAGATATTGCCACAATTCTTTTATCTTATGCAGAAATGAAGATCAGAGATACTAAGTTATTCACTGCTCTCAAAGAAGAAATAATGCTGCGAGATAAGTACAAGTACGAACCAGGACAACTGGTGTTGTTTGCATGGTCTTTTGCCAAGGTAAACATCAAAGCTCCTGAACTGTTCCAGATGATTGGYGATGTGCTGTGCCAACAAGATCTATCCGACATCCCCTCCAGAAGAATTGCCAAAACTCTTTGGGCTTTTGGACGACTGGGTGAAGCCCACGAGAGGATGTTTAAATCCTTAGACAAAGAAATCCTTCAGAGATCTTTTGATGGATACGATTTCCTGAGCTTAGCTACCTTTGTGTGGTCATTTGCAAAGCTGAATGTCCAATCACCAGAACTTTTCAACCAAACAGCACTGCAGTTTATAAAATTCAACCTTGCTCATCACAATGTTGCAGAACTGATCATGGTACTTTGGTCATACATGAAAGCTTCGCACTATGATACAGTATTATTTGAAAAGTTTGCCGACAACATCCTTACAAGAGATCTTTCAGAATTCACCAATCTACAAATTGTCCAAATTCTGTGGTACTATGAGAAGTTTAAAATCCCAAGTGCAAAACTCTATGAGTTCTTTGGTGAGGAAATCCTACGAAAAAATCTTGGTGAACTTGATACTTTAATGCTCACAACTATCCTACGTTCTTATGCAACAGCAGTGCCTGAACGCAAAGATTATATTATCTGCATAGAGAACGAAATGATGAAAAGAAACTTGTCAAACTTACATAGCAATATACTAAAGAATGTGATTTGGTCCTTAACTGAAGCAGGAATGCCTAACAGTGAGTTAGTATCAAAACTAAATAGTGAACTTGGCCAAAGAGAAACAGAATACAAAGGAGGAAATGTAGCTTCTGGTTCGTCGGATGAAGAGATAGAAAAAATGAACAATGAGATTTTCACAGCATAAGGAAAATATTTTTGACAATTCACACTTTTCTACTGGCTGCTTAAATTTTTTTCTGGTTAAGATAACCTTGGAATCTATTTCTGGCTGATCTGAGGAAAAGTGTTAGCCAATCAGAAATTGAGAAAATTTGCAAGATTGAAGGTGTCACTTTTCCTCTCGCAATATTACAAATTTCCAGGACACCAAAGACAACATAACTAATGAGTTTTATATTTTTATTGCAATGGCAGCTGTGCAGTGATGTATGTTACCATTCATTCCTATGTTACCATTTGTGACATGTTTGCTGGTTGCGATATTAAAGATTTTGGAAAGGATTTAAATTTATTATTTAAGGAATGAGGACAGTATTAGAAATGAACAATCTTTCCTTCAGTGGATTGGATATATTTTAACACGTATAACTTAGTGCGATTTTAAGCCACCAATATGAGTTGGTATTAGTGGCTGGTTGGGAGAAATTATATTCTGTATTGGCTGCGAGTGTGAAGAAGCTGTCAACATAGACCCTTCATTGAAAGCTGAAATCGCAACACTCCTCTCTTAAAACAATAAGTGAGATAAACTGACTTAACCAATCAATCAAAACAATTCCATTCTACTGTATGTATTTTATTGTTGTATATCATACACCATACACTTTACTCCAATTTACATTATTAATTTAACATCTTTTACTAAACACATTTCAAATAGAGATTAAGTCTAATAAAAAAAMCCATTAACATTCACTATAAACATCCAAAATTATCTTAACCTTTGCTTTATGGAAGTGCAGTCTATGTTTCACGAGGCTAGTGTTTGCACTCTATCCTGATCAAATCACTAACCTTCTAAAGCCCTGGCTAAACGAGGAAATACATTTACTGCACACATGCTTACTCAATGTTTCTCAGTTTGGTCATGTAAAAACATTGCTACCAGCAMTAAATTTGGCTTCCGAGAAGCAAAATTCTACAGCACAGCAGAAACATTTCACTTTTTCAAGCCACATGAAAACAATGTTACATTTGTTTGCCTATGTTTCCTGATAGTTTAGCAATCTTTGGAAACAAATTCAAAAACAAAACATTTTTCCTTTACTAGTTGGGGCTTAAAATTTATGTTTTACTGATCTCAGAAAACTGTGCTACCCATATTCTTTCTGAGATTGGATGCTAATAATTTAATATAGGTTATATCCATCACATGATGAGCTAATAGTTCACATACTCTCTGTTCTGATTATTACAGCTTGTTAAGGTATTTCTTTCTATATTGGGATGGCATTCTTTAAATCATRAATGAAATATGTTTTAATAACCATTAGCTCAAGTCAAAGAGTATTTCTTAATATCCTTTGGGTGGATTTCTATTTGACCCCTCATCATAATGCCTAATGGGATACATTGGGTGGCCTAGGAAAATATGACATGGTAAATGAACACAAAGAGAAACAAACAAAAACAACAACAAACAAGCAAAGTATGATTTCAAGTCTAGATTACAAAATAAATGAAATTATCATTTTTTGGTTGTTGCTAACATCCAGCTCTAGCTTTCTATGTCAATGATAAAGTAAGAAATGCTACCTAGAGACATTGATGTTTTAGAAAAAACTATTCTTATGGCAGGGCATGAAATTAATGCTCGCAAACTAGCAAAAATGTGAGTAAAATTTTGCATTTAGCAAGTAAGGAAAAACTGAACTAGCTAAGTTTTGCAAGTATGACCACAGCCCAGAAATTGAAGGACAGAAAAGTTTAGAACCTGCATCAAATAACATTAGTTATGAGCTGCGATTGATCAGTGACTTTGAAATTTTCGATAGTGAGAGCAAAACTTACTAGTAGGTTTATAAGTTAATTTCCTGCCCTGTAATGGGAGTATAATCTAAAAATCTTTTACATTGAACAACCTATGTTGCTATAAAAAGCAAAGTACTGTACCTYGTAAAGTACCTAGTCCTTTCCTATACATTTATAAACATCGAAATGTATAAGGTAAGGCWAATGAATGAATGATGAGTCAAAAACTAAGTAAGTTAAATGTACTGTACGTCCTTAAGTTTTAAAACAACAGCTTGGCCACCCTTAATGTCAATTTTATTGACATCAAAGACTTTATTCTTTATGCTGAATTGACTATCAAACACGACAGTTCCTCTACCAGAAATATCTACTAAATCACCATTCCATTCAGTAYCAGAGAAGTTAATGATTACTAGATACTCATCACCTCTGGTGTAGGAAAATACTTGGCTGTCAGCATGAACAACTTTAAACTGGGTTGACTTAAAAGCACTTTCCTGTCGCAGCTTGACTACTGCCTTGTATACAGCATAGTGAGATTTTTCATCTTTCTTTTCACCTTCAACGTTGATTTTGTCTATGTTGCTGCTAACAGGTTCAAATGGACTTCCAGTCGTAAATCCTTCAAAAGAATCCCCCAATAATATTTATGAGATGATGATTATAACTGCATAATGTTTCTGATGATGACAAACAATAATATCTACGTAGGGTCATGGGTTACTGATCTGTGTGTGAAAGTAACATGTGTACTGTTGAAGGGAGGTGGTTGTTATGGGTGGCCAGATACCCAGCCTATGTTTGTATCCAAATATTTAAGATAAAGAATAAAGAAGTATAAAATGGATACCAAATTCCTCAACTCCTACTTAATATCACATGTTCTTGATGTCAAAGTTAGGTCAGGATTTCAAATTTGCACATGCGAAACAGCAAAAGGTTGTTGATTTTCTGTTTTGCAGGCATAAAATACATCAGGTTGCATTTTTTTTTGAGTAGACCTTATTCCTATGTAAGTTTCATTGTTGTGTCCAACACAAGAAAGTGCCCAGAAATAACATATTTTTGCTTGTAACTTCGAAACCAAAAAAGTTATTTTGTGCTAGTACCATGTACCAACTGATTTTCTTTTGAGAGCCCATCAAAGACCAGCCAATCAGCATGCAGAAATAAATCTGATCAGGTAATCCATTATCATGAAATGATAGGTCTTTGTTTGCTGATAAACAACTGAAACAAGGACCTTTGTGTGGGTTTCCCGAGATCACCTGGTAGGTGAGAAAATAGGGTTTATCAACAAGTAATTCTTACCAGCTTCTTTTTCCTTAGTCCATTGCATGGGTGACCGAGGACTGCCAGATGTATCAACCATGCCAAGCTCTTCTCCATAGTATGTCATTGGGGTACCAGGTAGAGTAAGAAGAAGAACATTCATAGCATCAATCAATTTTTCTCCCAGCCGACTACCAACTCTGCTGTTTGTGGGGTTACCGATAGCAAAACTGGGGGAGCCATCTTTAGGAACTGAAGCCAAGTAGTTGCTGACAGTTTCGTTGATGGATTGTGCAATATCTGCATTCTTTACATCAGTGATAAGACCAGTGAAAGTTGGGAGATCACTCTGAGCATAAAACTTGCCAATATCCTTGCCCATGACATCAAGGATCAGGAGCTTATGGGAGTCAGACTTTTCCAGTGAGGAACGGAATTTCTTAACAATGTCAAGATTGCCTGGCAAGTCTAAAAGCAACAAAAAATGTATTTATAAATCATCACTAGCTTAGTCTAGTTGAAAATGAGCCTTCGTGATAATGATTACAGTCAAAGATATGTGAACGCCCCCCTTTCATATTGATATCTTTCTTTTCTTAAAATAGTTAGCAATCATCTCTTTAATAACTAAACTTAAAATATTATTTGTAGTCCAATGTTTTATCAAGATGCCAGTTCAAAAAGCTAATATCCCTTGTAAAGTTGTAGATGAAATTTTTTCCCCATAATTAATTATTGCAGTGACTAAAAAAGATAGCAATTTTGTGTTAAAAAAAAACAAAATATGGGACATAATATGAGATATTCTTTAAACTATACCAGATGTTTTTAAATTATTAATTTAAAGGATTAAAATCGTTGGGAAAACCTAGGGTGGATCAGGGAAAAAAACAGTAAAATATTTTACTTTAAAAAATACATATATACCAGGAACAATCTTGGTATCCTATGTCTTTTTGTTTTTTAATGAGAAAAACAGCTGTTTTTTAGAAAAAAATTAATTTAATAACAAATCTGGAGAAAAAACTAAAATGAAAATCCACAGCTGAAAACGTTTGGCTGTAAATTTTTTTCAATGGCTTAAAAGAATATATGAGGTTTTATTGGTATAGAATAAGTGATCTGCGAGTTTTTTCTGTTTTTTTTTCACTAGAGGTATTATCAATTATTGCCACGTAACCCGACCCTCTGGGGCTTATATAATACAGTATTTCACGTGATGTAAACAAATCTTCCAAAAAACTATATTTTTTACTATATGTCTTTTGAAGATCGCTAAAAATAAATTAAAAGAAAATTTATTTTAAATCGAGAGCTCAAAAGGTGTGAATTCAATAACAAGGTTAACCACAAGAAAAAGAAGAAAAAGCAATTATTACCGAACGTTTGGTTGTGTTCCACCATATCGTATTTTTGGATTGAATTGTTGTAGCCTGGCTTCTCTATTTCATTCCTGAATTCTTTATCTTCCAACATGTACTGGATGAAGCCAGCTCGGAATCCTTCTACACCTTTGTTGGTCCAGAATTTCAGGACCTTATTGAGTTCTTCGACGACTGAATCGTTGCGAAGGTTCAGGTCGGGTTGGCTCTTGTCGAACTGGTGGAGATAGTATTCGTTGGTTGTTGCGTCTTTTTCCCAAGCACTTCCACCATTAACACTAATCCAGTTGTTAGCAGTTGCTCTCCATACATACCATCCACGTTTATCGGAGTTAACTTTAGCTTTACTATCGAGGAACCACTTGTGTTTATCAGAGGTGTAGCTTGGTATAAAGTTGACCACGATTAAGATGTCTTTGGCTTTGGCTTTCTTGACAAGATCTTCAAAGTCACTCATCTTGCCATACATTGCGCTGATGTTCTTGAAGTCATCGTCATAAAGAGTATCAAGACAGAGGATTTTGACTCCAAGTTCTTTCAAGTAGTCGAGCTTTTCTGTGATGCCTTTGAGGTCGCCGTTACCATCGCCATCCGAGTCTTTGAACGATCTTGGTTGGATCTGGTACACTATTTCACCCTTGAACCAGTTTTTATCAACCACCTTCGTCTTACTACACTTGGGAGAGACGATGATAATAATAACAGCAGCCACTACCATAGCGATGATGATCAAGGTAAAAAATACAACCAGGACAATTCGAGTCTTGCTGTATTTCGCCACTTCTTCCTCGCTTGGCTTTTGAGGAATTCGAGATTGCGGCTGTTCTAGCTTAACTTTTACTTCATCATTCCCTGTTAGGCTGTTAAACTCTACTTCATTCGACATTTTGGTGGTTCTTTTGGGTTAAAGGCAAGAAAAGCTATCTGAATCCCAAAGCAAACGCAAGCAAAATGGCGGGAATGGAGTGTTTATAATTCCACGCGGCCGCTTCGAACCCTCACTCATGTGCTTACAGCGTGAACAATATGAAAACAGCCAATCACAGCTCGAGGGTATCGCTATCGCCCTTTGAACCAGACAGAAATACTGCCACCTTATTGGCTAGAATTTTTTCTTTCAACTTGGTCTGAAAGAAAAACCTGTTTTGTCACGATATAAAGATTTTGGCAAGAATACAAGAGGATTGCATCATTCAACACCTTAAACACGTGCCTTATATTCATAATCACACTTGCCGTAAATACATATCCCACGCTATACTCAAAACAGACAATATTTCACCCAAGACTAATACCATCATACAACACGAAGTTATCAAAATTATTTTGGATTAATTTTACCAATATTTTAATGTGTTTGATGGGTGTTACCTGATAAAATCCAGATATCCTTCAAGCCTGTTGATCTTTGAAACTTTTGCTTGAGAGATTAGCTATACGAGACTGGACCTATATCGCAATACTGTAGCCGAATTAGGTCCAAGACGTCCAATAACAATAAATAATTAATTGGGTTTATTACTTGAATATTCTTAGAAGCTTTTCGTAATAAAGGCTTCTTTTGTTGTTGCTCAAGGAGTCAGAACCGGCGTCAAAATAAAATAAAAAAATAACTATTGCCATTAACTACATGGATCAAGGACGTTTTATAGAGAATGCGGAAGTAAAATCTCGTACAACAATATTTAACAGTATAATCATCTTTATTTCTCGTTTGCCTTCAATATATTTTTCCAATATTATTATTGTCACGAGTAAGACATATATATGTAATTTCGAGTATTTTGTATTACAGCATTACAAAATAAATATTTTATTTGGTAAACGAAGTATACTAGTAACTTCATTCAGTGTTTGTTTATAAATATATTTTGTATTTTTTCTTTCACGGAAAATAATTTACGGCATAACTTGTTTGGCACTAGGATATCTGCAAGTAGAATGGCTGTCGTTGTTTTAATTTTGTTCAGTTGTAAAGAAAATGGAAAGCTAAAAAGGGAAGAGCACTCGCAGACGACAACCTAGCTTTTGTCTCACTTTTGTTCCATGAAGAGCCATCTCGAAGTGGGTAGTAACCTTATTTATTTTAGAAAAACTTTTGAATCTTGTCGAAACTATGCAGATCTTTAGTTTTCAAAGTCATATTTTAAAAACTGATATTAGTTTTATTATCGACGCCACTAGAGGTATTACGTTTATTTATCGCTTTAAACTGTTGTTTTGCACGCGCTCTAGGCGTGGTAAACTAATATCAGAGCAAGAATGATAGCCTCTACGACTGACCAATGATAGCTGTATAATTTTAAAATTCTTCTCCATAATCTCCATAATCATCCACGGGACCTAAAATAAAAGACATCTTGTGTTAGTTTTAACATTCAAAACCTTTAAATTTTATCGATACCCTGAAACAACCTCTGGGCTGATTAAAGTCAGGGCATGTTCTTCGTGTGATGCAAGCAAGTGTTACTGGTGACCATACTATATTGACCTCTGGTGAACTTGTGACTGGTGAAGGGCGTTGTCTTGTAACTCTGCCATAAACTCTGACCCACCCAAGTTTATGCGTAACTGTGGTACAGTGTAAATAAATGCAACACGAGAAAAATTGGGTCACGATTTGAAATACTATCAGTGTTGGACAGTAAAATCGTTTTCTTTTGGGCGCAGTCCTTGTCGTCGCTACAAAATCTGGGTAAAAGAGGCAGTTAAATTCCTCCAGAACTCTTAGTTTACCGGGACTAATACTGTAACGATTACGTATCTCAACTCACCATTATCATACATTTGACTCAACAGCTGCGCCGCGCTGACATGGTCTTCTTCGTCATAGTCTTCATCCTCTTCGTCCAGTACTTCTTCGTGTACTGTTTGCTCTACCCCTGCGTACTCGACTGGACCACTTTCAACTACTAATTCTCTCACCTCCACCGCTTGCTTGGGTGGAACTTTTGGCTGGCTGCTAGGCGACGGAGATAGCTACAACGAGAGTGACGAAATGTTCTATAATTTTTTTTACAGACTGGCTACAAGTGAACTTGTTTGTCTAAACCACCATTCATGAGCCCAGTGAGTGAAGAACGAGCAATTAACTCACTAAAATATCCATTAGTGAAGTAGCCTCGGATACCTTTATTTTCTTTGGCCTTTCTGCTTCCGTGGTCAGCATTTTCGGCGCCTCTCTGCAACGAAAAAAGAAGTTAATTACTTTATTTCACCTTGCAGAGACGGACGTCTACCCATGCACTTTAACTCTCTTCACGGCTTAACCCCAACACTTAACCTCCACCCTGGATTGGGTCTGATTCGGAAGGAAATACTACTGAGAATAAGTTAACATTAAGTACACAAAAAAAAGTATTATAGTTTGATATTAGTTTCTAAAAAATGTCATCGCTAATCATTACCGCAAAGTAAAGAAGTGGCGCGGCTCAACGGTGTCGAACTGAAAGCAYGTGAAGGCACATCTGGCAGCCGCTATACGGTCTATCATGACCCGGAGCACAGCTCTAACCAGTTTGAATTAATTAATTAGTTAGATAGCAAAGATCTTTCAACTTTCGTTAGTTGCGCAAGATATTTTCCAGCGACCTCAAYATTAAATTCCAAAAAATTTAAGAGCGCGGCGTCACGATTCCTACGTCAATATTCCAGATTTTTGAAGACTACTTAAACACTCTCGATCACGCACGAAAGTTTTGATCTTTAAAGTGTAAGTTGGGGCCGGAGATTTGTTGTATCATATTATTGTAAGAATATCGATGCCATGATAATATCCACTTAAAAACCAACTCGAGTTCAAGGGGGTAGCCATCAAGTGATGACACATGAGAAGGATGCGTCACGACAAGTTTGAAAACAAGATTGCGAGCAACTGAAATTATTACTCCTGTTGTACTTTGCAGCCATTGCGCAAGCCAATTTCTACTTTATCGCAACATTGGTGGTGTTGTATTACGGATTAGCTACTATCTACCGTTTATAGAGCGTTTTCACTCACGTGACAAAGCAGCTATATTGGTGTACCAAACAATAGAAAATTTCTGCACAGTTTTTGCATAAAAATAGAGTTCAATTTCCCAAGGACAGAAAATGTATTGTTTTGATACACCAACATGACCGCTGTGACGTGACATGAGAACGCTTTGTTGAAGAAGATACCATGGCGTATCTGCGCATGTCAATCAACTGATTCAAAACTGGTTCAGCCTCAATACCTTTTCTTTCCTTCAGACCTGGGCGGTACTTTTGGTACAAGGAAGCCATCATCGTTAGAGTGTGTCGGCGTAACCGGCTCAACAGGTTCATCGGGTTTAGCAGGTTCAGCAGGTTTGGTGGACTGGCTGGTTTCCAAGTCTCTTAACACCTCGTAGTTGATTTTTCTGGATATTTTCTTTTCGACTAACATTTTTTCGATAGCTTCTCCAGCCGTTGCTGCTGCGGGCTGGTTCTTCTTAGTTTTATTCTTTCTTTTCTATTACCAAAGAAAAAAACGAAATTATAAAAGAATGAATGGATGAATGAATAAATGGACGGGTGGATGGGTGGATGGATGGGTGGATGGATAGATGGATAGGTGGATGGGTGGATGGATGGGTGGATGGTTGGGTGGTTGGGTGGATGGTTGGGTGGATGGGTGGGTGGAAGGGATACTAGGTGCATGGATGTATGAGTATCCGCACCTTTTTTGGTTCTGGCTTGTTGATTCCTTGTTCTTTGTCTCTGGCTTCTCTTTCTTCTTTTTCTAAATAGAAATTAATAATTCGATAATCTATTTTAGCTGTTATAGCCGAAATGCGAAATGCGTATTTTTTTTAGTGCTCCGTTTAAACACGTTTATAGCTACACGGGTTTGAGAGAATTCTAAACCTCCATTGCAGACGGCGCACTTACCAAGTGATCCACCCTTGTTTTTCATTCTAACTGCGTCAAGCAATTTTACACTGAAATTAAATTTCTTACCCTCACCTTTTATCATTTCTAAATACTCCTTGTTTTCTTCCATCCATACTTTGGTTTTGATTTCTACTTCATCGTTTGTTAAAAGACACTGTTGAAGAACAAACACAGYGTCAGCCTTTATTCTCACTCTATCCTTCACTGCCAGGTCCTATATACCCAGTTTGGCTTGGTTTATCCTATCTCATCTTTGATCCTACGTGGATTTCCCAAGCAATGCGCTTTTTAACTTGTTATTTGCTATCACTAATCGTCAACACGTACAGCAATACAGCATTAGCGGGGCAGTAGTGCAGCAGTAGAGCAGTTTAGCGCGGGCAAACTGGAAGCATGTGAAGGCACCTCTGGCAGCCGCTGTACAACTCATGTATGACCCTGAAGTACAGTCCTAACCAGTTTGAATTAGTTAGGGTTGATTTGAGAGGAGAAAGGAAAAACCGGAGAGCCGAAAAACCTTCAGAGTCAGAAAAAGAACCAAACATATAAGATCAAATGAGATGATTAGGATTCGAAACTCGGACCTCAAAGGTGAGAGGATCGCGTTTTTCTACCACGTCATCCTGACTAAATTATCAGAGCCAACGCATTCTTGCGCACTCCTGTCATGCGCAGCGGTGCGGATAATACTCGGGGTGAGCCAGAGACAAGGAAGAAAAGATCTCTTTGTTATTTCCTTTCCAGTCCTCTCCTCTCTGAACCGATGAGCAGGCTATCCAAGCACATTACATAACATAAAGAATCCCGCGCACGACACGGTCACGGTACGGTATTTCTAAATTGAACCAATCACAACGTGCCATGTATTTCCTCATCCAATCAGAGTGCAGAGTGCGTACGTTTCTTACATGTTTGATGACATAATTCACGGATACGTAATTTACTTACTGCGTCGAGTTCTATGTCATCCAATCCAGTAAGATCTAGTTCTTCGTTTCCATCTTCATCTAACGGAATAAAAACAAGACGATCAAAGAAAAGATACTGAAATTACTTCAGTGTTTACTTTATAGATATCTGTTAACCACCTTCATGGATTTCATAACTGTGAGCCAAAGTACACGGCACGGTCACAGAACGAAATTGATCTCATTCACAGGCCAATCACAATTCTAATAATTACGTGACCCTGACAACGAGCTATAGTTAGAGTCTTATGGGTTTTTGGGTTTCGTCAATCAAATCACCAATCACGGATGCGAGTTAGTTTTTTTATTTATCGATGGAAGGAAAATACCAAAAGGTATTGGGCTGTGTTGGTCACGTGATTATGAAGTCAATGTTAATTATTCCTTGTTTTATATAATTTTATAGATTAGTTTTTCAAGGTTTATTAAGGCCCCGTCCACACGTATCCGGAAATTTTTGTATCCGCAAATTATTTTTTGCGGATACGAAAATGTTTGCGTCCASGCGCAGCGTATTCGAATCGTTTTCACCGTCCACACGTAAAATTTGCGGATACGGACACAAAAATTTGCGGACACGCGTGGACGCAACCCGTATCCATAAAAGAAATTGCGGATACAAAAATTTGCGGATACGTGTGGACGGGGCCTAAGATTTTATTAGAATGAGCATTTGAAAACACATGTCGATATTTGCGTAATATAAACAAATTAAACTGATGATTACTTTATTATTATTATTATTATGACATACCAAAAGTCGGAGTATAATCAATTTTAGGTTGCTGTGGTTGCTGTTCTGCGGCAAGTTGCTCCGTAGTTTTCATTACAATAGGAATATTCTGGATTGGTTCGTTTGCTTCCATGACAACAGTATTCTCACTGGGAAGATTTTCTTTATTTCCATTATTGGTATCAGGAATATTATTAATTTCATTGTCTTTGCTTATTCCCAACATGTTATCAATCTCTTCCTGGAATTTTTCTATCTGGTTCGTGAACTCAGGATTATTAAGATCTTCAGCTTGTTGCTTTGCTTTTTTTCTCGCGTGTGTAAAACTAGGGGGATCTTGCTCTTCTTCTAAGTCAATTTTCTGGAATTCATCGATAGTTAGTTGACTGGAAGGAGTGTCTTTGAATTCTCCAAGTCTTTTTCGTATTGTGGTGTCGCTTATTCGTACCACTCGTACAACTTCTTTTACAGTTCTGCTAAAATTGTGGAATCTCGCAGCTACAAGGAGAGCTGTAAGAAATCAAAATTTTCCTTATAAGTGAAATATTATGACATCTTTAAAGCTATCGATATCCTAAAACAACCTCTTGGCTGATCTAAGTCAGGGCATGGCTAACTCACAGATTGAACCCTGAAACAACCTCTGGGCTGATCTAAGTCAAGGCATGGCTAACTCACAGATCGAACCCTGAAACAACCTCTGGGCTGATCTAAGTCAGGGCATGGCTAGCTCACAGATTGAACCCTGAAACAACCTCTGGGCTGATCTAAGTCAGGGCACGGCTATCTCACAGAATGAATTTGAATTTTGAGTGTTTTGTGAAGGGAGGAAAACCGGAGAACCCAGAGATACACCATCGAATTAAGGGTGAGACCTAACAAGCAATGTGCACACGTGATGCCAAGTGCAGGAATTTAACGCGAGACCCTATAGGTAAGAGACGTGTATCACCGCCATTACGTAACCCTCGATTTTCGCATCTGCAGTATCTATTCAAGTATCTTTAAAATGAAAACTAGTGTGAAAATGTAATCCTCACGAACTAAATTTTGTACACCAAGGTACACTTTTCCTACAATAAAATGAAATTAAATTACAGTCTTACTGCTCTATGAACAGTAAGTATAGCAACATACCTGCACCACAAAGACCAGAAGGGCGTCGGCCATGATGTATCCAATCTCTCTTCATGCGAGAAACTAATCTCAACGCTGTCATGGCAACGTCATGTTCCTTTTCACCAAACTCCAGTTTATGTGCAAAACGATGGATATAAAGACATGGATCTAAATGGTACATTGAAATTCTCATCACGAAGAAGGAAGGCACTGGTAAAGACAACTTTAGAAAAGTGCAAGATAAATACCATTTAACAAATTGCCATCAGATTTTTATGTGTCTGTCCTCTTATTGACAATAAATTGCGTCATCACATTGTCAAAGTAGTGTGGATCCACGAGGCRTAGCCGAGTGGATCCGCATACTACTTTGACAATGTAATTGCGAAATTTATTGTCAATAAGAGGACAAAAAACATAAAAATCTGATGGCAATTTATTTTTTACAATAACAAAAACGATAAAAACTTCTCAGTTTTAGCGATCAAAACAACCAACGGAAAGAGCGCGTGCTCGTTGACGTCAGCTTTATCTGTCTGTCCTCTTATTAATGATAAAAAAATAACCAATCAGCGYGCGAGAAAATTGTAAGTTATTGTAAAAACTTTGTTTCAATTTTATTTATTCACGAATAAACCTTTAGTAGTATGTATGGCTAAGCCTATGAAGTGCAGGGGGGCACAACATGTCATTTTGCAAATTGAAGCCACTGGCGGAGGGCCAAAATTGTAGTTTCCTACACTCCCTGTCAACCACCACCTTTACAACCTCTCCTGTAGTCCCTATATAGTCTTCTTTAAAAAAATATAGTCTATATAGTCTTCTAAAAAAAATAAAACAGCTAGAATAGCAAAGAATACTTGGGAAAATGTAAAAGACATTGCCTTACCAATTGCAGGTAGGTTGATGTAAAGCTCTTGAGCGATTTTAAGATATGCTCTTCCAAGAGTGAAAACATCAATCTAGGGGATAACAAAGAATTCAAACTCTATGATCAATTTCTATATAGTTAGGATAGTATGTGTCCACTGATTGGTCAAAAACTGTGCTTTATTAGTGAATGGAGCATGGAAAAAGCTGTTTTATTTGTTAATTAAAGTTGTGATGGGTAGAGGGGGGTGTTGAATAGTTTGTCTCCACTTTACCCACCAACAACCCCACGAACCTGTAAAACATCACTGAAATCCAACAACATGTCTAAACTATTGTCAAGGAATCAACAATCCTTCGAAGATCAGTGGTTGATTTAGGGGGGAGGTCACAGGGTGCCTGTGGCCCCTGCCCATCTCCTAGCTTGGAGTTGGTTTGTTTGAACAAGCTGAAAAGGTGCATATTTTTAATCGTGAACCTCTCTGCTCAAAATACTAGATCTGCCATGATGACAGCTATATATAATGATGATTTATTTATCCTTCATTTATTTATAAATAGTAGTAGTAATAATAATAATRATAATGGAAAGAGGATACGAGGAGTTTTCTCTGTCCTACAAACCAGGTACAGACAGGCAGCTACCACATGACTTGTTCTTCTACCTCGTGTAAGTCTTTTGTTTACAGCAAGTTTATAGAAGTTGAAGGCTGTGTCAATGCAATGCTGGTTCATTTGAAGTTGATGACCCAGTGCATTGATCCTCTTGCGACCTAGTAAGATAAATCAAATACATTCTTATATCAGGTATATTACACAGTATAATACACAATAATCATCATCATCACCATCAACACCATCATCACAAGGGCGGATCCTTTTTTTTTCAGGAGGGGTGCACCATTAATGAGTGGCATAAATAAAGGATGATGTAAACTAATTCTTCAAAATTTCACAGGAAATCTGTTAATATGTCCAGCAATGATGGATTTGAAAAAAAAATGAAATAGTATTATGAAAAGGCATTTTACATAATCAAAAACAGAGCTAGTGCAGCTCATCTGGAGGGGGGGGCCGTGTCCACCCCCTGCGTCCCTCCCCTAGAGCCACCCCTGCATCAGCGGCATGAGGGGATACAATCTTGAAAAATTTGTAAAGCATACTATTTTCCTTCACATTAGGATGTATTATATAATTATTTTAATTTAATTCATATACTAATATTAATTAATAACATTACCATTTTCTAGTGTCACAGCTCTAGATTCTTGTCCTAATCCATGTCGAAACCCTGATCCAATCCCTATACCAGCTTTATTACCTTCAAACAATACATTAATGATACATTGATAATATCAACTATACTAATTCAAATAATTTAAGTCTACACATCAAAAACATATAACAAAAAATTTATAAGCTACAGAAAAAAATATTTCAATTTTAAATAAAGAAAATTCTTATCGTATTCACTAAAATGTTCTACTATAATATAAACACTCTTTGTACGTTATATTATTTATTTTTGTCAACCACGTGGCTCCTTCCTTGCAACGTGGTCTAGTGGGTCGAATGTCTGCTTCGAAACCCATTACTTAGGACCAGCAGGATCGAATCCCTGAATTTGGATTCTCTTTTTCTAAATCTTCATAACAATTTWTTTTTCTTTTTTTTCTTTTTACATCAATGTCTTTTCGACATTATTACAATTTTCGACGAAATATAGTTATAGACTTCAACGAGTAGTTTGCTTCATTATAATATCAAGCATATAATATTAAGAACAAATCTCATAATCTCGATAAAGAAAGCTATATATCAATGATAAAAGGTAAAATATAATAATAGCAAGGTATAGACCATATAAAAATTCCTTATTTTTTGTAAAAATAAAAATAAAATAAGATTTAATTTATGATGTAACGTTTGGTTCTATGTCAGCAATGACACGAGGACGCCATTTTCGACCGCTGCCGGCAATAAATATTCCATTCTTCTCCAATAAACTACCTTCAGAAGACACAAACTGTCCAATAGCACTAGTTCCTCCGATACTATTCTCCTGGAATTGTACTTCAGAGACGATAATGTTGTCTTCAAGTACAGACCCACAGTTTATACATACAGCATTTCCACGGGATGGATCGAAGTCAATGTCACTACCTCCACAATTTGAACAAACCTGAGACATTATTAACGCCTAAAATACCTTGGAGTCAAGCTGGATTGGATATGATAGGGAAATTTAGAGTATAAAGAAAGGATTTTTGAAGCCTACGTTACTCTGTCATGCCATGTTGTAAATGAACAGGACGGCTTACAGTGGATCATGGGAGATGATGAAACTAGTACTGTCGGAGGTAGGGTAAGTAAGCTTGGTTTTCACTTTTCTTTTTCGTCGAAAATCTTTAGATTATTTTTATTAAGTCGATTAAAAATCCTTCTYTTTGAAATACAGTAAAATGATTTTTACATTAATTGCGAATAATTCATTGAAAGCGCACTTAATCTTTGACTAACGGGGGTGGGGTAAGTAATCAAATTGTATCATTACCATTGCCTTTTTATGAGCTAAATATTAAGTTCATGGCTCAATTTTTTTTCCTTTAATATAAATTTCTATTTTTTGTCTTACGTTTCAAATCAAGTTTGACAAGGATTAAAGATGTGTTATTTTTAAAAGTTTGTATTATGGGGAGGGGTGGGGGGTGTTGGTAGGAGGGGAGGGAGAGAGAGTGAGAATAAATGGACAGCTTTAGGTAAGAGGAGATTGTTGACACTAAGGTTTCTTCAGGGACGGCGGAACCGGGGGGGCTTTTTGTGACATTTTAATATATTTTCACTAAACTCAGCCCCCCCCCCCCACACACACACCTTGTCATACGATGTCACTATTGAGCCCCCCCCCAATCAAAAAACTGCTCCGCCGTCCCTGTTCTTGAATTCGGAATAGTCATTCAACCTAGGACACAGTCATCGCGTCTGATCATTCGTGAYGACCCAAAACAGTTTTTTACTTCATCGAGCATCGAAAAAATCGAACAAGGAGTTTTATCTGTAGACACCAATGCAAGTCAGGAATAGCCCAATGGTTTTCTTCTGATCTCCTTTTCATCGTAAATAAGCTGAAACATCGCGAAGACGAGTACACAAAAATTAACTTCCGCCTGATTCCACTCATGAGTTCAACAACAGTACTCCTCATTCTAGTCGCAGGTTTATCAGGTAATGTTATCTAAACTCAGCTTTTAATGTTATTTATTACTTGAGTTTTTAAACTTGGAATTGATGTACCTTCAGCCTAAAATGCTAATTGACAGACTTAGAAATAATCAAAATGTTTCCAGCGACTACTTCAAAAGCAAAAATGACAATTCCTTTGCTTCATAGCTTAATATTTTAATCCGTTCTTTTCTCGCTGCTCCGAAGCCCTATATACGGTTTCATTTTCCAAGACTTTATGAGATTTTCCAGCGATAACTTCGAACGCAAAAATGACGATTCCTTAAGATTTTAATCCGTTCTTTTCTCGCTGCTCCGAAGCCCYATACGGTTTCATTTTCCAAGACTTGAGATTTTCCAGCGACAACTTAAAACACAAAAATGACAATTCCTTTAATGTTTAATAGTTTTTCTCGCTTGCTTCGAAGCCCTATACGGTTTCATTTTCCAAGACTTTATGAGATATTCGCTCTGTTATTGAATCTCTGAAGTAATCGTACGAAAAGGCCAGGAAAAAATAATAAATTAAAAAGGTCATGATATTGTTGGTCTTGTCGGAAGAGCTGTTTACCGTCACACTTTCACTCCTGTTTTACATAGAAAAGTCTCACTGCACGCCGTAGTGTATGTACGCAGTGTGTAAAGGAGTATAAAGAAATACATTTTCTAATCATAAGGATAGAAGAGTTTAAATTTTAAAATGTCAGTCTTATCGCAAAGGTTTGGCTTTCGTACAGTAAGCCACGAGAACAACTGAGGCATGAACTGTTCGTCAGTTCGTGAAGTATACTTTATATTCTCTTGGGCGAACACATTATTTTTTCGATCTTTGAAAATAATTCCGCAAAAACAACTGAATGATGGATGACGTACTTACAAATCGTGCGAAGAAGAGACATAGATCAGTGTAATCTGTAATTGAGATAGTGAGGAAATTTTTCTCTAAATGAAGCAGTAAAAACAGGTAGAAAAATGTGTGTGCGTTTTATTGTTTTCAGATTGGTTCAGAACGAAAGCCGCATGGTTCACTGACAAAGCAAACGAACCGGCTGTCTTAGCTCAGTTTTCAGCTATTATGCTGCAACTCAGAATTTACCATGAGTTTAACTGTTTCGTATTATTTCCATCAAAATAATCAATTGGTTATTTATTTCCGTCCGTCATAACTTGTGTGATTGATAGCTTTCATGGGAATTGTCGCGCGCAATACTTCTACGCATGAATCAGGGCGGGAGGAGGGAGGACAGGAGGGAGGGCGTTGAATCAGTGATTGAATTTAATAGGCGCGCGCTCATCGTGATGACGTCATTCCAATGTTTTGATAAGCAAAATACCACAAATACCTCTTTGATATCTTATAGCTTTTAAACAAAGTCGAGGACCACCCTTTTTTATTTCGTTTTTTGAAAGTTCTTTGTAAAAAACTAACTTTAGAAGAAAATTTTTGAGAATCTGACGATGGGATATTTTTCCCATGAACTTCCTTAATGGTTCGAAATCCAGAGTGCGCATGTGCATGTTCGATCCAATGTGACACTCAAAAACCTTTACGTATTGCTGTGGAAAAAAAGAATGAAAATCTCATATTAAATTTATAACTGAGAAGGCGAATAGTTCGAAAAATGTAGGATAAGTGGGATAGATTTTGAAAAGGCACCATTTTTGTCGCCACCTACCTAAATAAGGGTTTTCTGGCACCAAATTAACACCGAGAAAAAATATGGAGCAATGTCCACGGAGGAACTGTTTCATTCTGTTCACTTTTGTTCTTTATTTCATTTATTTTAATAGGAGTCTATGCGGACTTGTTAGATAATCTTAATTGTAACAGGACACACTTTACTCATGGCGTTTCACTTTGCCAGAGGATTGCACTAGAACGTCTAGCACGAAGCAAGGATATCACATGCGAGTAAGTAGGAAAGAAAAACTGTGTCTCGAATGCGTCCAGATTGGATGAACGTAACACTGTGCGCAATGCAATACTTCAGTTTGGAGTTCTCAGTTGCTCGTRTATCAAGGTTAGCCTCGAATTAGTGTGAAGAATATTCACGTGTTCCAGTCAAGGTCCGTCAAGTTTCAAAGTGTTTGTATTGTTGAAGTTGTGCATTCTTTGCTTTACCGTTGGTATTTATGAATATTTAGACACTGATTCGAGGCTAAGCCTGAGTAAATGAGTCTGCAATCAAGGGACACAGCGGCAATTTGGAACTGGAAAATGGTCTATTGGATCGCGTGCGTTAATCCAGCCTTAAGTCAAAGACCGACATGGCGGCAATGACGTCACATGCGCAAGGATAAAAGACATGACCGCCATGTTGGTGGACACAACAAAAGAAACCAAGATAATTGTTTTTCCAAGTCATCCAACATGRCGGCTATGACGTCGCATGCATTCCAGCTAAGGATAATAATACTTTCAGGTCAGCAATTCATGATGATAATAGCATTTATACTTATTTCAATAAAGTTAGTCACCAAAAACCTAGAAAGCTGAAATCACTGAGGATCATAGGAAGCGTTTCATTTCAAACAAGCGTTTCATTTCAAACTGCAGCTTGAGGATGCTCAGGAGAGGTGAGACTGTAACTGGTAAAAGATCTAAAACCCGTTAACAGTTATTAAAGCGGTTAAAACATGTAAAATGTATCTACCCATAATCCTTGTCGGCCTCAGCTTTATTGCTTTTCTGGTGACTAACTTTATTGAAATAAGTATATTTAAAGTGGTTAAAAACAAATACAAATAAGGTTAGTGTTTAATTTGGGTAACAATTCATTTCCCACATCATTGCTGATTTATATAACGTTCAATTATAAAAGACGTACTAACTCGTTTCTCTTTTCAGCTCTGTGTACAAAAAGCAAGTCACTTGTATAGATAACCACGTGCAGAAGTGTCTGGAGGGTACAAGCTATGCCATGTATGAGAAAATAATTGTTGACCTGCTCAATATTATCACTTTTAACTGTGGAAACGGTGAGTGTATATAACTGAAACGACGAGTCAGCGGTCGTGGGTAAAATCGCGGGCTCACCTTCGCCCCAGAAAACAGTCCCACAATACTGACTGCAATGCAAACTTGACTCAGTGTTTTCCTTACACAACTGGCTAACGGTTTCGAAAGAATCTCAAAATCTAGTGGAGAAGTAAGCGCGCTCATTTCTTTAAAGACAATAAGTATATGGGATTAATGAGAAGCTGTATAATTATAATTTTTATCATATGACCCGTATCTGCCCGGGTGCGCACTTTTAAAAAAACCTTGGGGAAAATGGCTTGAGCAGGGCCGTACGGCTTTGAGCGAGCAGGGCTGTACGAACCGTATTGACATAATTTACAATTTTTAAAATATCTATTTTATTTAGGGTCATATGATAAAATGCTTATTGACCGAGTTACATCGGGCCGTACGGGAAAATATTTGGCACTCGGTCATTTGTACGGCATCTCCTCGAGCCAAATATTTTCCCGTACGGCCCTCCCATTCTGTCAATAAGTACATGATATGCAAAGTTTTCACGAAGTAATTTGGCGCATGCGCATACGTTTTTCAGTCGTGTCTATACAGCGTCCTTCCCTTCATTCCCCCCTTCCTTCCCCGACCCCTCCCTACGGTACTCAGTGGTTTAACAGCATACTTATTCCGTTACATATATTTTCTCTGCAGTAAGTCCAAATTTAAACTTCTTTGTTTTCCAAATGTTGGGTTGTAAAGACGGAACTCTAGAAAATTTWAAAAAAGCAGTCAAGTGTTGGAATGATTTTGTCAGCAAACACAAGGCCAACAGAAAATATTCTACCTTATGTAGGTACGTTATTCGCTTTCTTTGGATAAGCGATGATGATGACTATGAAGATGTTGGCGATGATAATAATGCGGTGATGAGGATAATGATGATGATAATAATGGTGAAGCACGATGATGACGGTGATAATGGTGAGGATGATAATGATGAAGGTGATGGTGATGTTGAAGATGCATGATGATGATGATGATGACGATGATGGTGAAAATAATGGTGATGATGATAATGGTGATGATTAACGACAAAGATGATGATGATAACATCAGTGTTGATTGTAATCAGATCCCTCGCTGATGCCAAGAAGTGTGTAGCCAATATAACAAACCATTACTGTCCTGCGGTGAAACTGGAAGCAGATCCCTGCAACCCCTTCTGTGCAAATGGTACCGACGACCACCATGAATGTCCAGGTAAAGTATGGACACACCAGCAACTACCAGGTAATCTGACTGGTAAACCGAAGATAATCTACCATTTTCAAACAAGGATCGTAATTTACCTATTATACGCATTACGCATGTTTTTATTCGAAGGTAATCCAGAAGAATATAAAATACAACATTCGTCTTTTACTTATTGATTTTTTGTTCCAGTTCTTTCGATATCCTTGACTTGTAAAAAGGATTTTTACTACATGAAAGAGAAAGAATGCGAGAGAATATTCATCGATAGTTTAACCAACCAGACAAATACGTCCGCCTCGTGCAGGTATTTATCTTATCAGATAATTTACACTTACTATGAATCTTCTTTTTTTCCACTCTTGTCCCCGATAAGTGTTTCGGAATATTAGATGGCGTACCCGTCAATACCGTATCCGCGTGTTAGTCGATGCGAGACGAGAGCTCKCAAAGTGCAGCGTAAATTCCTTGAACTGAAATCTGTTTGTTTCTGAACCAGAATTCACAATGGAAATATCTACTTCCAATTTGGACTTGTCCAAATATTTCCTTTTCAGTCTAGCCCAACTTTCATGTCAATCAAAAAAGAAGAAGAAAATTGAGCGTAAGACTATTAAAAATATTAAAAAAAGAAGAAAAAAGGATACATTGGTGTAAAACAATTTCGATTGCTAGCTATAAGATATTTTTCTATAGTTTCTCTTTAAAAAAAAAAACATTGGGACCATACCTCCAGACCTAAAGTTGAAGCGCAGTATGGCAGCGCGAAGCATTTACGGCTATGCCGGAGATTTCGGCCCCGACACCGCTATCCGATCACTGATCAGGAAGCTCGGCCGAAGCCTAAGGGAGAGGTTAGTCGGCCCCTAGACCGTAAATGATTAACCCCTTTTTGTTTTAGCTTCGCACCAGTGTCCCAAGATGTGCAAAAGGGACAGCAATGGAATTTTTTTCTGATGACTAAGTGTTTGGTACTTGTCTTGGTCCATGTGGGACGAGACTTTATTTTAACAGCAGTTAAATCAGACATGCGCATAACGTACAAGGTCATTTTTGTTTCACAGTACTGAAGTTCCAAAGCTGAAGTCTTGCATAAAAAAACATTACAGTGAAAATTGCTTTGATCCTTTGGTTGACGACGTTCTTCTCGAAAATCTTATCGAAGGAGTCTCGAGTGTCACAAAAGGACAAAGAATGTTCTGTAATGCCGTCACTATCACGGATCGTTCTGCTGCATTGCGTGACATCGTCCCTTGTGGAAGTAGCTTCTATGCAGAAGTAGAAGACTGTGCCAAGGAGTTCAGAGAAAAATTCCTTGCCAACAGCAAGAACCTTTCTCTTTGCAGGTAAGCTAATCATTAGGATTACACTTTACAAGATTAACCAATCATGATGAAGAATAAAAACAAAGGATTCCAGTTTCAGCCAACCAGAAACGACCAATTTGACAAAAAGTCATAACTAGGGGTTGGTCCCTTAATAGTTGGCCATTTAACGCATGTACTACCTTTATAGCATGGAGGGATGGGGGGATGGGCCCAAGGGTGTATGCCTCTTACCCCAACCCCCCTCCCCCCCTCCCCCCTCCGGGTTGAAAACGYAGCCAAAGAGTTCCTAATGAAGCTATCCATTTTTTTCTACAGTAATAGGCCATTTGAACGATGGCTTCATTTTTCAAAATTTCTTCATTATTCGATTTAGAATAGCATGACAATTGGTGCTAATTAACTGAACAAAAGAAAGTGTTCAAGGCATTCTGGTTGTGGTGGTAAATGACACCATAATGCAAGCATCCCTAAACCATTTGTTTCCCTTTACTATAGTGTCTATGAAAAAGCTAAGTCATGTTATTCCACACTGCAAGCTAAGCACTGTCAATTCAGTCCCAGCATTCTACAGATCCTAACCAACGATACTTACAATCCCTTCTGTGTGGCACTACAACCAAAGGTATCTTGTGGACTGGCTATGTACTTCAACTGGTCTTCTTTGGTGTCTAGTCTGTTAGCGGTGATAGTTATTCTGTTAAAGCCATAATGGTTTTTGAAGTCTGAAAAACAAAAGCATAAAAAAACATTAGGGTGTGAACAATAAAATATTATAAGAAAGTAATGTGATTTTGMTCGGCACATGGAATAAATAGTAAGCAATTATACCTACTAGTAGAGTACGAACACTAGAGGCCTTCAAATACTTGATATTTAGCACTAAATAGCTATATACAATAGAGTGCATACCATATACCTTTGAAAAAGTTAACTAACAAAATTGTAGAGAATTAGTGCAATTTTTTGGTCTACGGTCTACCGAGGTCTACTGAACTTACTAATTTGTGCAAATTTGTGTGATGTCTGTCTTACAAAGTTTTTCATGGATACTGATGGTATGCACTAAAATGAGATTAGCACTATTTAGTACTATTTGRTTTAGGTTGCAAGCTTTTAGTGTTTGTACTCTAGAAGAAACCAATGCCACTGTTTTCTTTGCTTTTTCTTTGTCTGTTAGTCAATAATTATACAACTTCTTTTCATATAACAAGTAAAACCTTTTGACTAACACAAACGTTAAGAATGGGCTCCCTGTGTTAAACGTAGCAACTATAACTGTAAATAGGGAGGGAGGGGAGGGAGAGGGTTATTTTGTTCACTTGTAATCAAGATTCTATACAAGCAGACCTCATACCTTGGTGTATTGTTTTTCAATTTCAGTGACTTTCTCTCGAGAATAACATTCTTTGTTTGATTTGTATCCATCAGTTCATGTGTCTTATTAAGTGCAACTGTTAAACAAAGAAATAATACTCTAGGGAATGGCACGTGGTCTGAAAATGGACAAAGCTTTATGCCCAAGCTAAAGAGATCTATTTCATTATAGTAATCTCAATAGTCAAAGCGTTCTTTGATCTATCATTCATCCATTTATTAAAGTTTTAGTCGACAACAACGTTTTTTGAATTGACTGTATATTAGTAAAATGATTCTATCAGGCAAACAGCCTATTTATTTTCTTATTTTCAAAGGTAAAGGGGTAGAGTGACCACAGTAAATCCGTGAAACTTTAGTAATACTAAATAGCACAATTTCATGCAAATTCCATTGTTTTCTATTGTTCAACTAGCACTATTTTGTACTATTTAGTAATAGACCTGTTTCAAATTCCAAATTACTGCTGTGTTTCTTGATTACAGACTCATTTGCACAGGGTTAGCCTCGAGTTTGTGCAGAATATTCACGTGTTCCAGTCAAGGTCCGTCGAGTTTCAAAATGTTTGCATTGTTGAATTTGTGCATTCTTTACTTTTCTGTTGGTATTTGTGAATATTTAAACACTGATACGAGGCTAACCCTGTGCAAATGAGCCTGTAATCAAGGAACACAGCGGTAATTTGGTATTCGAAAATGGTCTATTAGTGTTTCACGGATTAATTGTTTGCACGCTGTCATTCAAATTTAGAAACAACAGTATAACATTTAACAAATAGGATTTGATTAAACTAAATAAATAACCATTCTGAGATTGAGGAAAAGACTTTTTAGGAGAAAGAATAGGGAAATCTGGGAAATGTCTCCTCAAACAGTCCCACCATGCACTGCAAAGTGAACTGTGCCCAGTCTTTTCCTCCACCTTGAAATTGCTAATTAGGATTGGTGTCTGCTAACATCTATAAGATTACTATATATCTGTTTCTTGGTTTAAAGCAGTTTTTGTATGAGAGGATACAATACTGCATATCTATAGCCATGCTATAGTTATACTGTATCTTACCACTGTAACTATGACTGTGTTGTGGCTGAATGAATTACCGAGAGACAATTGGAAACYGTGTTCATTCTGTAAGTCAACACTATATGTTTCCCACTCATATGAAAACTGCTCTAAGTGAAATCAGTCTAAAAATGTAAAAAATAAAAGAATGATCTTCAAAATGATTTTCCAAACAGTGTAGAAAAAAATGCCATGGTATGAAAAAAGCCTTGCTGCAGTTTACTATCAGACTTAATATGTCATATCGTCCAATAAAATACCATATTGAGCAATGTAATTTTATAGATGGCCTCAATCAAAAAAAAAATGCTATAAAGGAATTTGTTTTTCATGTCATCTGAATGTTTAAAAAATAGAATAAATTGAACAAGTTTAAAATCCGACTTGTGGTCTATCTTCAATGCTGTTTTCTGATTGGGCCAAACAAAGGATGTGTGTTTCCCGTTGCATGAGAAAAATGATCGGGAATGGAAGTTCAGTTTTTTTTTCTCACTGATACAACAGTGGAAATGAGCTTACTGGGAACCCGGGGATGAAAAAATATTAGGGTTGGCAAAAATTGGCAAGAAAATTAGGGTTGGTTGCACAACAGGAAACACACTTATTTTTTTGTTTGGCCTTGTCGTACTAGCCTACTAGCATCAAATAATGCTGGCTTTGAAAACCAAAACATAAATTAAAAACATTGTTTGCATTGATATATTCGAGCAACTAATTGGATTTAACCCACATGGCCTATGAGTCAGTGAGCACTAAATGCTAAGTATGGGTGTAAAAACACCAAACTCTTGACAGTCTAATAACTTTGTTTCAATTAATTTATAAAATGAATGGAATTTTTCTGCATTATCACCCACATGAGACAAATATTCTTTGTTTCAGAAAGTAGAAGCCCACTTTTCTCAAAGCGAAAAAAAAAAAATGTGTGTACAGAGTAGAAAAGTCTCATAGTATTATCATTTGCTCTACATCCTGCAACACCTCATTGTTGCTGGACATGTTGTACAATTGTTTTTGCTGTTACTGCTGTTCAAATATTTTGGGGATAGAAATGAAAATAACAGCTGGTAAGTCTTTGGTCAAGGCCAAGATTTGACCAGACAAGTTCCAATAACTGGGCAGACATTTTCTGATGTCCTGCTGTTATTTTAAGCCCTGAAAATTATTCTTGGCTTGATATAATGTTTTTCAAATATTCTTGATATTTACTACAAGTTTGAGTTTCATCTTTTAGTGAATGGTAAGAGCTCAAGTACTCTCCACAACAATCCCAAGATAAACCTTCTCACTCTCCGCATACAGAATAACGCTAAAATTAATATACCAAGTATGCATAGTATAGGAATAAACCCTGAAGGTGAAGGGAATGGAGTGTTTCCTGTTAGGGCTGTAAACCCTGTGGGGTCCAGTAACCATTTGAGATACAACCCAAGCTGACCAATGGCAGCACTGCTTATTCTGGGTACACAAGTTCCTGAAAATACAGAATTGCTGGTCAATATAATTCCCTTTTTTTTTTATAGAAGTAACACTTACAATAATTCAGGTGATAAACTTGAGGTCCTCTTTTAACATTTCTTATTAATTAGGGATGGGACTGCCATTAACGTGGTCATCTGAACCACTTGAAGGTCTAACCATTTGCAGTTGTAATATATTACAAAGGCTGCACCTTCTTCTCGGTTTATTTGAGACCCAAGTGTTGGTCCCACTGAGGCTTGAACCAAGACCTCCGATACCTAAACTATGAACTGGCTTAATGCTTGCTATTCTTTGATTGCATGTTACATCATCGTGGCCTCTCAGGGGAGCATTGGTGCCATTTAACAAAAGATTTTTCAAGCCCACAATAATAATTTAGAATTTTTAGTCAATTTTTTTTGGGAGGGGAGGGGAGGGGAGGGGAGGTAGTAACTTCACTAACCTGCTTCATCAGCATTTTGTAAATCTTTTAACCCAAAGCAACCACTCGGCAACTGCCACTTGACAACAGCAGGTATTCTCATGTGAGTAACTTGAAGAAAATCGTGAAATCCTAACAAACTGCATGCAAAGAACGAATCTAAAAAACTACCAACTTCTTCTGGATCTTGCACGAAATCATTTGCATGGAAAGAAGAGACTTTTGGGTAAAGAGAGTAACAAATATCATCTGCTGCATCTTCTATGGTTAATGGACTCCACTTCTTGTTCACCACAGATGAACACCCTACAAAAATGAATGTTATATAAAAACAGTTCTTTAATTAGGTCAATTTGTTTTTAAGTTTCTACAACGATGAGAAAGCTTATATCAGACCAAAATATCCCAGGGAGACTCYGGGGTAAAAGTATTGGGTAAAAATTAATGATTGTGGTATCTTTTAGAGTTAAAACTGAAATTTAGAATTTCGACTTTTCAGCATTTCAAATTAATACTAGAATATTACTGAAAAATATTATCATAAAGAAACTTAATTTACAAAGAATGTTGAACACCCCGACAGCATATCTGTTTTTTCGTTGTAAATTCCATATTTACAGTAAAACAAGCTCACGCGTTGACCCCTAGATTCGATTAATGAAATCATTTGTCAATATTATTATTCCTTTTATACGTACGAACCGGAATAATGCAATATTGCAATATTCAAATGAAAATTCAGTTCATTATTCGACTTTTAATGAAGAAGGTAAATCATCTAAATTACAAATACCTTCGAGCAGAAGTCGCTCTCTTATTTAACAAGCATACACACTAGGTTTTGTAATTTCCATGCCTCAATTACTTGGAGGATATCATCAGTAATTTTGTAGGGAACGCTCCTGCCTTGAGCAAAATGAAGACACAGTTCCATGTCGTTGATAATGTTGAAGTATTTTCTGGACTCCCCAACTAGAAATTTTCAGTTGTCGAGAAATTGCTTTATTGGACAATCCGCTATTACTGAGATGAACAATTTCCTGTCGAATAATATCAGGTAAAGGCTTTCCCAGCACAAAAACACGGCCAAGACTATTTCTGGCCGCCATGTTTTCTTGGTCTTCCAGCTGTGTTAGCACTGATTAACCAATCAAAATGTTGTATATTGAATTGACTGGAATTTTAATATCTTCGTTTTCGATATGTTGTAAATTTCAACTGAATAATGAAATCAAAATTCGAAAATTCAAATCATTAATCGACTCTAGGGGTCAACGCGTAAGCTTGTTTGACTGTAAGGAATGTCACATGATTTACTTCATAATCATTCGTAAAAAAATAAATCTAAAAGTTCATACCTAATAATTCTATCATAACCAATATCATAGCTTGATAAGGTAAACTTTGCCCTTTAGCCATCTTTGGCTGTAGTACTTTCCAACATCGGTTACTTATAATACACAAACTTGCATTTCGAAGACTCAGATCTCCTAAACATTCTTGAAAATCTTCTAATTTCAAGCCTTCTAAATTTTGAATGTTAGTTCTGTCTTCCTTATCCACTCGTATTGGTCGATAATAGCGGAAACCTTTGAGGTGTGAAGCGATAAATGTTTTGTATTCATGATTTATTGTAGGTTTGTATATGTTTAGTACTCTGGGAATCAGTACATTTAATCTCGCACAAAGAAGCTTTAGTTCTTCTAGAAAAGCTTGAGGAACAGATACTTTTGCCGAGTCCATGCAATTCTCTATCGTTGTGAACAGAGACTCTACAAAAAAAAAAGATTTGTGGTAAATTATTGTATTTAAAAAATAAATATTCAAACTATCATTGTTTTGGTAGAGTAACACTCACTGCAATTTTCATAAACATGCAAACTCTGTGTCTGTGAGCTGCACCCTGAAATTTGTTTTTTTCCTGCTGTCAATCAAACCTAATCAGTCGGTACCTCACAGACACAGAGTTTGTGTGTTTATGAAAACTGAAGTAATAGCCAATGGCTAACAAACCTCCATCTGTTAAAGTGCTTATAAGCCTTTACACAATATTTTCTGAATTGATTCTTTAGGTAGTGAAATAGTTGATTGTGAAAATAATTCGTCATTTCAATGTCGGGTCTTTGAGATACGAAGGTTTATATTTCCAATATGTTAATGACTATGACGTAACCTAAGGGATCATTTAATATACAACACTGCATTCGTATCTCGTATCTCAAACCTTCGTATCTTAAGGTATTAGGATATGTTTACGACCACTATGCGCGCAAACTTAAATAACGTGCTGGCTTTATAGTATAACACAAACAAAGTATACATTTTCTGAAAGCTGA